TTTAACTTTTTTTAAAAAAATATTTCAGAATACGTTAAAAGTTCATCTCCGAGTCTCTTTCTTGACTAGAACACTTATAAAAGCTGTTGTGATTACTTCCATTTATTTTATTAGACCATCTTAGCATTTATAGTTATAATTAATCCTAGCTTTAATTATTTTCTAATAATTATCGCACTTCACTAGCCACATTAGTTGGTTGACAAAAAGCAAAATACTATAGTGATTTCTTATGTGATAATTCAAGATACTTTTATGAAAAAATAAAATTAAATTATAAAAATAACATAAAATTAAAGTAATTTTTGTTTAATATTACAATACCAATTGACCTTGTTTAGTAGCACAAAGTACCACTTTTTCAGACTTGTGAGGCGTGCTCACTAATAAGATATCATAATATTTGAGATCTTAAATCCCAATAGGCATGCTCTAAAGCTTCTTTCCTCTTTGATTTAGTTACTTCCTCCGTTTAAAAAAGAATAACCCTATTTTCTTTTTAGTCTGCTTTAAGAAGAATGATCCCTTTTCTTTTTTGGCAACTTTTTAACTTTAACTTTTCACATGACATATTTAAGGCCACAAGATTAAAAGACATTCTAATATATTTGACATAACTTTAATTTAGAACCACAAGATTAAAAAGTTTTCTTTCTTTTCTTGAACTTTGTTCCAAATCAAACTATGTCATTCTTTTTTAAACTGATAGAGTAGTATCTATGAAAATATATTTTCAACTGAAAATAAGTTAATTCCTTAGTTAAAAATAAGGAAACTGATTTCCCTAATAAAAATAGTCAAAAATAAGTTTCACAAATGACATTCTATATTTGCAGTGTCTTCCATCCTCCAACTCAATTCATCTTCATACCAACTCTATAATCTCCATTCTCACCACCCCAATTTTTATCTTTCATAATATTTATCTAAATAATATATAGAAAAAAAATTAATAATAATTTTTATTTACTCAGTAACAACATTTTAGGTGTATTCGCGCTCTTAAATTAATTAATTTCTCCATCCAAATCATTCAAGGCGAAATAAAGAATAGAATATTGAAAACAACAATTCTAAGGTAACCTCAGATGGTCAAATGGGACTTGCCTCGACTCGAGGCAAACTTAGGTCATAGGTCATATTTCTTCGATTCTATTTTACTTGTCGTGCTTGTTAAAAAAAATAATTTAAAATAATTGTCATACTGAAAATAAATAAAGATAATTAAGTCAAATTATCCATTAGTTCATATTTTATTTAAGAAATATGCAAAATAAAATATGATAATTAAAATAGATTTTTTTTAATTTCTTAATTTATATTTAGTATATGCTTTAAACTCTCGATTAATTTAAATTTGAACTACATGAAGCACCTTAAAAAACTAAAACGCTTCATATTGTGAATGTTTTTTATGCATTTTCAAACTTTGAACTTTAAACTATGATTTCAAATTTTAACTATGATTTCAAATTTTACTAAATTTGTAAGAAAGTAAAGTTTTTGGCCACTTTTGAGAAAAAAATATACTTAGAAATTAGTTTTCAGAAACTATAACATACTAGTTTTTTACTCAAAAACACTTCTTTGAAAAATTTACTTAGAATTAATTTTTAAAATCTTGATCAAATACTAATTATTACTCAAAAAAATAAAATAATTTACTAATCAAACACAAACACATCAAATTAAAAATGCTTTTGGCCACACAAGATATAAGTTCTATCAAATATCCAAACTCCACTTAGCATGAATATCTTGTTAGGAGCATCATCTTAATAAATTGAAATGTACGAATTTAAACTTAATCGAACTCAACTAAAAAAAAAATAAAAAATATATGTATATCAACTTAAACACAACCTTAATATAACAGCCTTCAAAAAAAAATCTAGAGTGGTACCTGACATACACAGTTATCATGTTTCCTAGAAAAGAAAAAAACTTTACTTAGATTCCTCCATTTTAGCACTATGTGTTCCTCCTCTTCACGTGCTTCCTTTCAAGAACCGCACTTATTGCTACATAGTACTCCAAAAAATACCAATTACCCTTCTTGTGGTGTGTGTAAAAAATACTGTCCCTATCCCATTTTTCAACTTATCAAAGCAAAAAAAAAAACAGGTATGTCAACTGAAAAATCCCATTTTTTCTAACAAAAAAATGGAAAATCAAGACCAAGTTCAAGATTTTACCTGTTTTTACCAGTACTCATTTGGGGTTTTCAAGTTTATAATCCAAGAAAGAGATATGGGGTGTGTTAAAAAGATACCTTTTGTCCAGATTTTGTTGTTCTTGCAGCTGATGATTTGTGGAGCTCAGTTAGCTTTAGGTCAAGTTTGGGATGGTGTAGTTATCAGTGAGGCAAATTATCAAGCACTTGAGGCACTTAAACATGAGTTAGTTGATCCTAAAGGGTATTTAAGTAGCTGGAATGATAGTGGTTATGGTGCTTGTTCTGGTACTTGGATTGGGATAAAATGTGCTCAAGGACAAGTTATTGTTATTCAGCTTCCATTAAAAGGATTTGGGGGAAGAATTACTGAAAGTATTGGTCAATTTCAAGCACTAAGAAAACTTAGTTTTCATGATAATGAAATTGGTGGTTCAGTCCCTTCATCTTTGGGTTTTTTACCCAATCTAAGAGGTTTACAATTGTACAATAACAGGTTTTCAGGTTCTATTCCTGGTTCTCTTGGTTTATGTCCAGTTCTACAAACACTTGAACTTAGCAACAATTCTTTATCTGGTGCAATCCCTGATAGTCTTGTGAATTCATCTAAGCTTTATAGGCTTAATCTTAGTTACAATTTATTGTCTGGTTCGATTCCTGTTAGTATAACTCAATCGCGCTCTCTAGTCTTTATTGACTTGAAATATAACAACTTGACAGGGTCTATTCCGGATTCTTGGGGTGGAAATGGAGATAGACAGTTTAAATTAGAGTCGTTGACGCTTGATCATAACTCTTTGTCTGGTGGAATTCCTGTTTCTTTTGGGAAGTTGAGTGAACTTCTTGAGATTTCGTTTAGTCATAATCGTATTGTTGGTGTCATCCCTAATGATATTGGAAGGCTTAGTGTGGTTAGGGATCTTGATTTTTCTTATAATGAGATTAATGGTAGTTTGCCAGAGAGTATAACTAATTTGTCCTCCCTCATGGTTCTCAACTTGGAAAGTAACAATCTTGATGGTGAAATCCCATTAGATGTAAAGAGATTGCAAAAGTTGTCGTTTCTCAACCTGAGGAACAACCGGTTTAGGGGTGATATTCCAGCTGCTATCGGGGACATTTCTGGTCTAGTCGAGATAGATTTGTCTCTCAACAATCTAACCGGAGAAATCCCAGAGTCTGTTAGTGAGTTACCTAATCTTAGTTCCTTTAATGTTTCATATAACTCTCTATCTGGTCCTGTTCCTACTTATCTTGCTAAGAAATTCAATTCAAGTGTTTTTGTGGGTAATGTTCAGCTATGTGGCTATAATACTTCGAATCCATGTCCTGTAACGCCTTCTCCAGTTACACGAAGTAGAAAACGAAGTATTAAAGACATTATTCTCGTAGTAATAGGGTGTCTTATAATAGTCTTGTTTCTACTCTGTTGCATTCTCCTCTGCTGTTTGATCAAGAAAAGAGGTGAAGCCAAAAAACCAAAAGATGTAAAGGGTGTTCCTCCAACTGCCGGAGAAGTTGAGGCAGCAGGAGGGGATAACGGAGGAAAACTTGTCCATTTTGGTGGAGGTATGATGTTCAGTGCAGATGATCTTCTATGTGCTACTGCAGATATATTGGGAAAGAGTACTTATGGTACGGTGTATAGGGCTACGTTAGAAGATGGAAGTCAAGTTGCAGTGAAAAGAATGAGAGAGAAGATCACGAAAGTTCAGAGGGAATTCGAGAAAGAAGTCAACGTTCTTGGAAAGATAAGGCATCCGAATCTTCTGGCTATTAGGGCTTATTACTTAGGGACGAAAGGGGAGAAGCTTCTTATTTTCGACTACATGCCTAAAGGAAGTCTCTCAAATTTTCTTCATGGTAAGCAGAAAACAGATTTCCATTTGACATTCTTTTGCTTCTGTTTTATTGGGAATCGAATACTCTATATCTCATTTTACGTAATGAATCTTGGACTATGTATCATATTGGAAACAGCTTCTGTAACTCACACAACGTAGGTAAGGTCTACGTACACTCTACATTCCCCAGATCCCACTTGTGAGATCGCATGGGGAGGAAATTGTTATGGAGGGGGTAATATAGCTTTATTGTTTTTGTTGCAGCTCGTGGACCGGATACACCAATTGATTGGCCAACAAGGATGAGAATAGCAAAAGGGACAACGAGGGGATTGCTGTACCTTCATACTAATGTCAACATCATTCATGGGAATCTTACGTCGAGCAATGTTCTACTTGATGAAAACACTGATGCAATAGTTTCAGATTATGGTCTTTCACGCCTTGTAACTGCTGCTGCAAATTCAAATGTTGTAGCCACAGCAGGTGCACTTGGTTATCGCGCACCTGAACTTAATAAGCTCAAGAAAGCCAATGTGAAGACGGATGTCTACAGCCTCGGAGTCATCATACTTGAACTCCTAACTGGAAAGTCTCCAGGCGAGGCAGTGAATGGTGTAGATTTGCCTAGAAAGGTGGCGTCAATTGTGAAAGAAGAGGGAACAAAAGAGGTATTCGATTTGGAACTAATGAAGGATGCATCCATAATTGGTGATGAATTGTTAGTTACACTTAAATTGGCTTTGCACTGTGTTGATCCCTCGCCATTAGCTCGACCAGAACTTCAGCAAGTTCTCCAGCAACTGGAAGACATTAGGCGTGAAACGCCAACTGCAGGTCCCTCAACAAGTTACTAGATACTGAGTTATTGATTTTATTAACATGATTCTTTCATTCTTGAATTTCATTGCTAGAGTATTAGGTCTGTTTCAAGTGTCTTTAAATAAAAGTGTGCTACATTGCTAAAAGTGTTTGAGCTTAATGGAGCACTCCTAAATTCCATCCCTTTTGGCCCAAAGAACACAACTTGAGATTGAGGTGTCTCCCTCTACATGCATCCTGAATTTTTTTACATGTTTTATCAAACTTTAAATTTGCCAAAAACACCATTGATTATATATATATATATATATATATATATATATATATATATGTAAGTGTTTTTGAGCCGGCAGTAGAATTTTTTTTTCTGTTGTTGGAGATAAGTTACAAAGTTACTTTCCTTTCTTCCAAGAAACAAAAGCAGAAGTTTACCGACATGGGTTGTGATGCAGTGGTGGGAATATTTCACCCTAACTAAAGGCCTCGGGTTTAAGCCTTGGATATGGAGAAAATCCTTGGGAGCGCCACCCCTAAAATGAGCCCTGTAATGCATGATCCGAAATTAGTCAGGCTTTAACATGGGCTTCGAACATTGGATAGGAAACAAGACCAAAATATTCTTATATTATCAGTTTTTGACTTTATTTGTTTGTGCTTCCTGGTAATTTGATTGAGCGTATTAACAAAGATGGTGCTTGCATTAGCTCTGTGTTTTAATAGCCTTGTTTGGTACCCTTTTTCATGTTATGTATAACTAATGTTTGCATTAGTTATACACTTTATTATGTATTGGGAAATGCATTACTAATGTCATAGATTTCTAGGTATTAATAATGCAAATGAATTTAATGCATGAATTAGCACTTTAAAGACACAAATACCCCTAAAAACACTTTTACATCTTTTTCATCATAATTGTGAACTATATTTTCGTAAATAAATATTTTTGTACAAACATGTTATTTTTAATACATCAACTCAAACAATGCATAAGAAATAAAATATGTACAACTAATGCAAGTATTACTAATGCAAGTATTGTTAATACACTGTTATTTAGCATTATTTTAATATATTCTACCAAATGACTGCTTAATTTTAATCATTCAGATCTCAACTATTAAGTGTTTGTTTTAAAGATTATACAATCAATTGATGGGTTATGAATATAATTGAATGATTAAAATCTAACAATAACAATAACATATTCGATACAATTCCTACTAAATGGGATTTGGAAAGTATAAAATAGACCTTCAACTCAAGGAAGGATTAAGAGCCCGTTTGGATTGACTTAAAAAAATTAATTTTTATACAAAAATAAAAAGAAGTTGTTACTGTCTCAAAAAAAAAATCAACTTAAATGTCTTATAAATCAAAAAAAAAAAGTAGGGGAAGACATATTTTTGATTTTTAACATATTTTTAACCTAGTCAAACACTTCCTAACTTATTTTAAGTTATTTTTATATTTGTCAAAAAAAAATTCAAAAATCAAAACTGACTTAAAAGTAGATTTGATCAACTTTTAAGTCAACACCAACACCCTCCAAAAACTTAAAACAAATTTTAAATATCGTTAAAAAGTGATTCATTCAAGAATTTATATAAAGAAAACATTCCATCACTAGTTCATTTGCCACTACCGTCTCCCACCATCATCTACCACCTATATCCAACAACCTCAACCACAACTACCACTATAGCTAATTATCACAATTACTAGCGACCGCAAATAACATATTTATGTAATTCTACAGGTGAAATCTTGAGAAAATATGGTGTACACAAACGTTATTCCTATCTTTTTAAGATAGAAAAAATGTTTTTGATAAGTGTCCAGTTCAAGAAAAATGATCGCAAAAAATGCACCAAAGTAAAAAACTACAATGGCCACCACTAACAGCCATTTACAATTATTATATCAACCATCATTACCATAACAATATCATATATAAAAAAGTATTTTTGCATATTATTCAGTATTTTGATATTTTATGGATACTAAATTCCGTATTAAATATAAATTGAAATGCATAAGATATGTCGTACTTCCTCCATCTCATATTATCTGATTATTTTTCTTTTTTAGGTGCATATTAAGAAATCGTAGATAAGAAGATAATTTTACTAATTCACCACTTAAAAACCTTTTTGTGAATTTTACAAATAAAGAGAGTATTTTAAAAAGAATTAAGTGCAAACTTAATATAAGAAATTTTTTATTAATACTTTCTTAATTTAGTAAGGTGAATAACTAATATGAAATAATTATGTTTAAAAACACAATCAATTAATGTGAAATCGAAACGGAGGGATTATCCTCGTACTCTCTCCGTTCAGAATTGATTGTTATGGTTTCTATTTTAAAAGTCAAACTATAAAAACTTTGACTAACATTTTAAAATGTATTTTTTCACCATATTAATATGCAAAAAATTGTAATTTATAGTATTTTTCATGTAGATTTAGAATATCTACTTTTTTTGTTTAAAATATCAAATTAATATGATCTAATTACTTTCAAAAATTAATTAAATTGACTTAGCATGACAAACAATTCCGAACGGAGAAAGTATCAAAATAGAAATAGTCCCTGCCGTGCACATTTGTGCTACATGTTTATAAATTACAAATATTTTAGCAACACGTGCATTCTTCTCCCTTTTTTTTCCTTCTTTTTAAATGGTCCAAAAAGAGAAAAAGAAAGACAAGAAGTCAAAGAGGGGTTGGAAGAGATTATAATTTGGATAATTTGGTGTACTTAAAACTCAGTTCAGGATTCAGGAAAGATTCGATTATAAGAGCCTATTATATGCAGTTTTATGTTTATATTTTTGAGAGATTGTTTCCAAGACCAGGGACGGATCCACGTTGGGTTCAAGGTGTTCACTCGAACATCCTCGGTAAAAAAATATACGATATATGTATGGATAAATTTTCTGTATTTTTGTAGATACATATATTTTGAACCCCCTCAATAACAAATAAAAATAGATAGCTCAATGGTAAGACCCTTAATATTAAGTTGCACAACATTTATTTGTTTCAGTTTATTTTTGTTTAAAAAAATCAGTTCTATTTTTCAAGCATTTTTATTTTAATCGTGCCAAAAGTGTGGTTTTAAACTCAAAAAAATTCAAAAGGCCCATTTCGAAAGACTTATTTACACGTTTATATTTTTATTTTTTGAACCTCCTGAACGAAAATTCTGAGTCCGTCACTGTCCAAGACCTGACCCTGTGATCTCTTAATCACACGACAACAACTTTACTAGTTACTCCAAAGCTATGTGACAGATTGTGTTTTGTTTAAAATAAAAAAGTGTTTGACAGACCACCTACTTAAAAAACATAACTATTAAAAATCAAAGTTTGTTTTTGTAGGTTCCTCTAACAGAACTTTTAGTTAGAATTTAAGACCCAATCAAATCTTTAAAATGATTACTTTAATAGACAAAACCAAACAGAAGAAGACTTTTGTAGTCTTTAATTTCATCATCACTGGACTTTATCCTATTACGTTTTTACCATACGTTAGTTATAATCTTTTAACAATCAAACTGTCACTTTTCTGAGGATTTTAATCATCATCTATTAGTGACTTCTGGTGTTGTAGGATTTTATAATTTCACAAATGACTTTTACCTCCTTCCTATGACGGAGTCAGGAATTCATACTAGAATATCATATCAGGATTTGAACCTGCGATAACAACAACACCTACTTTGGCTTCACTCCCAAATAAGTTGAGATCAACTATATGAATCCCCACTTCTTCATTTAAACTCATTTCATATCATCATACCGAACAACATAAAAGTGAAAAATAAGTTCTACATATGTATACATTGATACCAAGTATAGGTAGGTCTTTCGAGACATTTTCCTTCACATATGTACCATATTTTCACACCTATAAACTGGTGCATCTGTAGGTTGCCGCAGAACATGTGAACTTAATATCTAAAGCAACTTTTGAACCCTTAACACTAGAATCTTCCCTTGTATCAAAGGGATTCAACGGTTTATATGTTGTAATAAAAAATTATGTTTATCCTATTTGTCCAGTATAGTATTCTCCAACAAAACAAATTCAATTGGGCTCCCTTGAATTTTTGTCATAAGAACAACTCCAATTGGATAAACAGTACATCGTAAATGTTAAGAGAAAACAATGAAAGTGATTTTCAAAGAAAGAGACTTTTTAGTTTAAGCATTTTTCATGAAAATTTATGCAGTTAGATAGGTTAAGTGGGTGAACCAATATAGCTCTACAGGGTTCAACTAAGTTTTAATAATATAATCTGTCAACCTCAGACAACTTTTATCTCTACTTCTTCCCCTATAAAAGCAGACCCCTTAACTCTACTATCTTTCACAAACAAGCACTGACTTGCATTTCTACTAATACTCGAAACAAGTTGTAGAAAGAAAAATAAAAGGAAAACAAATGGAGGCTTTGAAGAGCATTGCCAAACCTTTGTGTTATTTGTTGTTTCTGTGCATTTTTCTTCTCTTTGCAGATGCAGCATCTGCGAAAACGCATTACCATGATTTTGTGGTAAGCTATCCAAGATTTTGCTTCTTTGTTTTCTGCTAACATTTTGAAAATATTGAGAATTCTAGGATACTCACCTCTATTTTCGTGGAACAGATTCAAGCAACACCAGTGAAGAGGCTGTGCAAAACCCACAACACCATAACAGTGAATGGACAATTCCCTGGACCAACATTAGAAGTAAACAACGGGGATACTCTAGTTGTCAAAGTTGTCAATCGAGCTCGATATAATGTCACCATTCACTGGTAAGTTCATGCATGCAGAACTCAAATGAACTGATATATGTTACTCCAATGAATAAGACATGATTAAGTTTCATATGACCTTTTCTCTTACTTTTTTATACTATATTGTTGTGTTTCAAAAGGCATGGGGTTAGACAAATGAGGTCAGCATGGGCAGACGGACCAGAATTTATCACTCAGTGCCCAATTAGACCAGGAAAGAGTTACACTTACCGGTTCACAATTCAAGGACAAGAAGGGACACTTTGGTGGCATGCCCACAGCTCATGGCTCAGGGCTACTGTTTATGGAGCTCTAATTATTCACCCAAAAGAAGGAGGAAACTATCCATTTCCTAAGCCCAGAAGAGAAACACCTATTCTGCTTGGTAATAATTCTACCTTCTCTTATCATCGGAAGCTTTGACCAATTTTCAAAAACAATACTCCCTCTGTCCCATTTCATGTGACCTTGTTTGACTGAAAAGGATAGTACTTCACTAGAATCCAACAGAGGGGGTACTAGTTATGCATCTGCTCATATTCTGTTTCCTTTTAGAAAAATTGTTGAAAAGATTATTTGGAAATGCTGATCAGGTGAGTGGTGGGATGCAAACCCAATCGATGTTGTAAGAGAGGCTACAAGAACTGGAGCAGCCCCTAATGTATCAGATGCTTACACCATCAATGGTCAACCAGGTGACCTCTACAAGTGCTCCAGTCAAGGTTAGCTCTAAATTCCAATCTCACAGAATATTTAAAACAGGGTACCATGAAATTTGCCTCAGAAATTAAAAGAAAAAACCTATAGAAATCGTATCTCGACTCTTTTGTAGACAGAGTAAAGATTACTTCTAAAAGCAAAAACATTTTGTTCACATGCTCAAGACAATGAATTAATCTAATACTCTTAAAAGATCAAATAATAGAAGAAAGTTTATACATAGTAAAAGGAATAGTTTTCAGCTAGCAATGTTATGCTAGCATTCACTAAACTATGATTAGATATTTTACCTGTTCAGGACATGTTTTAATAGAAATCATATTTATGCAGATACCACCATAGTTCATATGGATTCTGGCGAAACCAACCTCCTTCGAGTTATCAATGCTGGAATGAACCAGGAGCTTTTCTTTACTGTGGCAAACCACAAGTTTACTGTTGTTGGAGCAGATGCCTCATATGTTAAACCCTTCACTACATCAGTCCTTATGCTCGGACCAGGCCAGACAACTGATGTCCTTATCAAAGCTGACCAGCCACCAAGCAGATACTACATGGCAGCACGTGCCTACGCAAGTGCTCAAGGCGCCCCCTTTGATAATACCACAACAACAGCCATCCTCGAGTACAAGACATCTTCTTGTTCTTCCAATTGTGTCAAGACCAATCCAGTTTTCCCATCTCTACCAGCATATAATGACACAGCCACTGCAACAGCCTTCACAACAAAATTTAGAAGCCCAAGAAGAGTCGAGGTACCCAAAGAAATCGATGAAAATCTATTCTTCACTGTTGGGCTAGGACTCAACAATTGTCCAAGAGGTGCACGCTCTAGAAACTGTCAAGGTCCAAATGGAACTCGATTCACTGCCAGTATGAACAATGTGTCTTTTGTGCTACCATCCAATTTTTCCCTGCTACAGGCACATCACAATGGCATTCCTGGTGTTTTCTCAACTGACTTCCCAGCTGTACCACCTGTAAAATTTGATTATACTGGCAATGTAAGCCGATCTTTATGGCAACTTATTCGAGGAACTAAGCTGTACAAGCTGAAATATGGGGCAAGAGTGCAAGTTGTGTTACAGGGGACTAATATCTCCACAGCTGAGAACCACCCAATTCACCTTCACGGATATGATTTCTACATCATTGCAGAGGGTTTCGGTAACTTTAATCCAAAAAGAGATACATCTAAATTCAACCTTGTTGATCCACCACTTAGAAACACGGCCAGTGTGCCCGTTAATGGATGGGCAGTCATTAGATTTGTCGCTGACAATCCAGGTAAGATAAATACTAGTATGCTAATATTCTATACAATGTTACATTTCAATGATAAAAACTTAACGATACTAACTTAATACAGGAGTGTGGCTAATGCACTGTCACTTGGATGTTCACATTACCTGGGGTTTGGCCATGGCTTTCCTTGTTGAAAACGGAGTCAGTCAATTGGAATCATTGGAAGCTCCACCAGTAGATCTGCCTGTCTGCTGATAACTGGAACAAGCAACATAATACAAAATTCAAAGCCCTAGAGAAATCAATTATTGTTTTAGTAATTCTAATTGATATTATTCCCCATTCAGGGCTAGTTCTTCTTTTTTTTGTTTGCTTTTACTACATTTTCCCCCTTATGCCTAGAATTTATAGTCCATATAATGCCAAAAATTGCTATGTAATACACCATATGTCTTAGAATTAAGGCAGCATATTTCCCAGATTAAACCAGTTGTATTGTTTCGAGTGCAGAAGAATTTACTTGAGTTTTGTAAACTTGAATCTCACATTGCTATAACAACAACAACAACAAAATCCAGTAATAGTACGTAAAGAGGATATAGTGTTCGCAAACTTTGCACTACCTCGAGGAGATAAAAGAGCAAAAAGGCTGTTTCCGGAAGACTCGCGGTTAGTGCAACGAATATCAGAGCAACAGTAAGAATTGTATAAATAGTACGTAATAAATTGGGGGGAAAAGACCGATCACTTTCGAGAAATTAAGCGAAAAACAGACCTAATCAATCGTTACCTTCACGTTTCATGATTGCAATGTTTGTTCTGTTGTTCATCAACCACTGAGCTTCAATTCCTCCCGGCTCCGGCGGTCAGTATGGTAAGGGCAGTGGTACCTTTTCCCGCCGGCAACTGAAGTACTCCAATGAGCATCATTTGTGATTTTAAATTTTGCTAGCAAGCATTTTCAATTTTTTTTGGGCAAAAGTAATACTTAATTGAGTTTATAATTAAATACTCAAAAATATTTTTTAATACACATAAAATTTATCCTTTTTAGTAAAAATAATTGAATTTTCTTAAACATTAAAATAAACGTTAAATTCGAAACTACTTCTACGTGACAAAAAGGAAAAAATAATTCACGCAAATTCATGCTAATATATAAATATGTCATTTAATTTGTTTCACTCTTTAATTTTGAATGTGCATAAATATGCATATCTAATATTGTAACTTTTTGTCCTATGTAGCACCTTGTGTGTAGCCCATGCATTATGTCGTATATATGTGTGTCTAGTTATTCAATTTAAAACAAATTTTAATATTTATTTGTATACGTTCAAAATTGAAGTACATAATATCCGATGAAATTAAGTTAAAAGATATATTATTTATAATAATAATAATAAAGCTAAAATAAGTGTAGTGTGCAACATGAAAGTAAACTCAATAATTTTGTGCAAGTATGAACAAAATTATTAGTTATATGTTAAGTCAAATTGTTACACAAATTTGTATAATCCTCAAATATTAAATCCATTCCTAAATAAGGATTATGGAGAAGTTCAAGGATAAAGAGAATATTCCATCTATTTCCTAAATAAGGATTATGGAGAAGTTCAAGGATAAAGAGAATATTCCATCTATTTCAATTTATTTATTTGATTTTAATTTTTTTAAATAGAGAATATTTTTTTTAAAAATTGTGATTTTAAATTGAAAATACGTAAAATGTATAATTCTTTAGTCTTAAATATATGTGAAATGTTGAAATTCAAAAAAAAAAATTAAAAAAGCATAACTTTAACAAATTAAAAATAAATAAGACAAATAAATTAAAACTGCGATATATATTTTTCGACATACCACCTACTCAAGACATAATTTATGAGATCCAAGTGTTTGTTTATATATAGTTAGAATTAGAATTAGAAAAAGGAACTGAGAACCAATAACATGTTTTAGAAAGTGCTAATTTAATAGACACAACAAACTGAAGAAGACTCTTTACCATCTTTAACCTCATCATCCACTACATTTGATGCAATCTAGTTTAGTAGAATTTTTAATTCTATAAATTCGTTGCAAAAATGTCATTTGTTATGAACGATTATTCAATACACAAAAACCTCTCTAATTTGTACATCGTTGTCACAATTTACGTGATATAATTTAATTTGTAATAAACTTTAAGAAAATTCAGTAACTTCAATCTGTATACATTTTATAGTTATGCAATTATCAAATTCAGTAACTTTGATTCGAAATCTATATTTATCTTAAGAAATTCATTATATACGTAAAAAATATTAATTTAAAATCCAATAATTTTAAAAGAGCTAAAAAATTTAAACTCGTAAACTACAAATCGTAAGTTACCCCATGGTTCAAAAAAAAACAAAAAAACATAATGAGATATTTACGTTTTAACTACTTCTTGGCCACTACTTTGCAAGAGTTTTAAGAGGTAAACAAATTGCTGTTTACAGCTACGTCGGTCCCTTGGAGTTGAAAATATAATGAAATAAGTCATTTCTTAATTACCTTAAGAAGCTTTGGTGAATTAGTTTATTAAACTACTCAATAATAACTTCAACAATAATATACTCAGTGTAATTCTAAAATTTGAAAAGAATAAAGTGTAAGCATATCTTATTCTTACCTCGTAGAGATAGACACATTGTTTCAGATAGACCCTTAGCTTAAATAAAGCTTACCAAACGGTTTGAAAAGGGGATACAGATAGGGCCGGATTTAGAGATAGCGAGGGGATTCAACTAAACCGTTGACAAAAAATTATATTATATATAAGGTGTTTTTTTTAAAAAAAAATATATATATTTTTTTAATTCCTTAAACATAAGATTAGAGATTAGTTGAATGGTCGAAGGAGTTCAAAATTTACTAGATACAAATATGTGAGAAGCATCTAGAACAACAATAACAACAAAAGAATAATGTGAAATTGAGAGTAACACGCCTCAATCTGTTGAACTGTGTGACTATCTGTCCCTAACGTGCGGCCTAATTCTTTTTCATGGCCAAACACGATTTCTGTCTGTTCTGATGTCATGTTAAAGTGTGTGATCATCTCATCTAAAAGTTTAAACTATTAGAGAGAACACATTTTCATTATTTAATTATATTTTCAACACAAAATATGAAAAAGAACACTAAGTCGTTCGGTAGAGTGTATAAGAATAATGCAAAAATAGTGTATTGGTAATGCTTGCTTTAGTAATACTTGTATTAGTTATGCTTACATGCATTATGATGATATTTTTTTATGCAATGTTTGGTTTAGTGTACTAAAAGTATTGTGCATAACATAATTTTTTAGTGTATTATCAATGCAAGCATTAGTTATGCATAGGCTAGAAAAGCGTACCAAACAAGATATTAATAATACATCAAGCTAATGCAAGCATTATTTTCTCCAATACACTCTATCAAACTACCATGATAACATAATGCAATAACTGAAACACAAAAAGAAAAGCACCAGTACCCGAAATCGAAGATCAAGAAACTACAAAAACAGTATAAATACATTGTATATCAAGCGCACACTCTGAAACAACAAAGCTCAAAACTTCATCTTTATCAAGTTGTGATTGATGAAGATAGATGGAAGGTGGTATCATAATCATCACAATAAACAACACCTATGTTGCTCGAACTCTTCTAAAATGTCATCGAGTGTGTGTCGATCTTTCAATAGTGCATTTTTGGAGAGTCCGAGCAACTTAGAACAGCATCTTGCTGTATAACATCACATTGCTAATGTGAAGCAAAATCTAATTAGTTAAGTAGTTATAGTGCATGGCATTGTTCATGAAAATTGCTGATGTTAGATAAGCTAAGTTAAGTGGATGAATCAATCAGTTCTACAGAGTTTTACCAAGTTTTTTTTTGGTAACATAATCTGTCAACCTTACACAACTTTTATCTATAAAAGTAGATCCCTCAACTCTAATATCTTTCACAAACAAACACTTACTTCCATTTCTATTAATACTCGAATCGAGTTTTAGTAAAAAAAAAAGAAAAAGAAATGAAGCCCTTCAACCCTTTAAGTTCTTTATGTTTTGTATGCATTTTGCTTCTCTTTGCAAATGCAGAGTCTGCGAAAACTCATTACCATGATTTTGTGGTAAGATATCCAAGATTTCCCTTTGTTATTTGCTGACATCTCGTAAATATTGCAAATTCTACGATACTGACTTCTGTTTTTCTTGTAACAGGTTCAAGCAACACTAGTAAAGAGGCTGTGTGAAATCCACAACATCATAACGGTGAATGGGAAATTCCCTGGACCGACATTGGAAGTAAACAACGGGGATACTCTGGTGGTTAACGTTGTGAATAGAGCTCGATATAATGTTACTATTCACTGGTAAGTTCAAGCATGCTTAGCTCAAATGAACTGATATATGTTACTCGAAAAGACTAAGACATGATTATATTTCATATGACTTATATTTTTACACTTTTATACTAATTTGTTGTGTTTCGAAAGGCATGGTGTTAGGCAAATGAGAACAGGATGGGCAGATGGACCAGAATTTATCACTCAGTGCCCGATTAGACCAGGAAAGAGTTACACTTACCGGTTTACTATTCAAGGACAAGAAGGGACTCTTTGGTGGCACGCCCACAGCTCGTGGCTTAGGGCTACTGTTTATGGAGCTTTAATTATCAATCCAAAAGAAGGAGTAATCTATCCATTTCCAAAGCCCAAAAGAGAAACACCAATTCTGCTCGGTACTACTTCTACCTTCGCTTAACACCAAAGAAATACTACTTAGGCATTTGCGATTATATTCTTTTCTCCCTTTAGAAACTTTGTTGAAATGATTGTTTTGGAAATGCTGATTAGGTGAGTGGTGGAATACGAACCCTATTGACGTTGTAAGACAAGCAACAAGAACAGGAGCAGCTCCTAATATATCTGATGCATACACCATCAATTCTCAACCAGGTGACCTCTACAAGTGTTCTAGTCAAGGTACCAAAAAAATTGCCTTGGAAACTAAACGAAGAACTTGTATCTCAACTATTTTTTACACACAGTGGAGATCACTTCTCAAAGCAAAAAATATTTACATGCTCAGGACATGTTTTAATAGAAATCTTATTTGTGCAGATACCGCCATAGTTCATATGGACTCTGGTGAAATCAACCTCCTTCGAGTTATCAACGCTGCCCTGAACCAGCAGCTTTTCTTTGCTGTGGCCAATCACAAACTTACTGTCGTTGGAGCAGATGCCACTTATGTTAAACCCTTCACAACATCAGTCCTTATGCTCGGACCAGGCCAGACAACTGATGTCCTGATCAAAGCTGATCAACAACCCGCTCGATATTACATGGCAGCACGTGCCTATGCTAGTGCTCAAGACGCCCCTTTTGATGATACCACAACCACAGCCATCCTCGAGTACAACACAGCTTCTTGTTCTACGAATTGTGTCAAGACCAAACCGGTTTTCCCATCTTTACCAGCATATAATGACACATCCACTGCCACAACTTTCTCAACCAAATTCAGAAGCCCAAGAAGGGTCGAGGTTCCCAAGGAAATCGATGAAAATCTGTTCTTCACAGTTGGGCTGGGACTCGAGAACTGCCCAAGAGGTGCACCCTCCAGTTACTGTCAAGGTCCAAGTGGAACTCGATTCACTGCGAGTATGAACAATGTATCTTTTACGCTACCATCCAATAATTCCCTGCTACAAGCACATTACCAAGGCATATCTGGTGTTTTCTCAACTGATTTCCCAGCTGTACCACCTGTAAAATTTGATTATACTGGAAACGTAAGCGGGTCTTTATGGCAACCTATTCGAGGAACTAAGCTGTACAAACTGAAATATGGAGCAAAAGTGCAAGTTGTGTTACAGGGGACTAGTATCTTTTCAGCTGAAAACCATCCAATGCATCTTCACGGATATGATTTCTACATCATTGCAGAAGGTTTCGGTAACTTCAATCCAAAAACAGACACATTTAAATTCAACCTTATTGATCCACCTCTTAGAAATACAGCAAGTGTACCCGTTAACGGATGGACAGTCATTAGATTTATCGCGAACAATCCAGGTAATTAAGAGAACAAATACTTATATCTCCTATTATTCTTCTATACAAACTTAACTACTTTAACTTAATACAGGAGTGTGGCTAATGCACTGTCATTTGGATGTTCACATTACATGGGGTTTAGCCATGGCGTTCCTCGTGGAAAACGGAGTTTGTGAATCAGAATCATTGGAACCTCCTCCACTAGATTTGCCTGTCTGTTGACGACTGCGAAAAGCAGCACAAAAGAAGTTCACCTTTTGCATTTTGATAGATAGTGTTCAAGAGGCGGATAATCAATCCGCGTTCAAGCCCAGAATACCCCCAAATTACATCAATTGTATTGTAATTTAGTTCATATACCAAAAAAACGTATTCAGCACTCATAGCGGAGGTAAGATTTTGAGTTTATAGGTTTTGAATCCTAGAAAACACATCTTAATAGGTTTTTCCATAAATCAATAGTTATACATATTATACATCTTGTTTGGATGGTTACGTGTTCTACTGTATTGTAAGTTTAAATACAATATTTGGTTTGCTTGTTACTTAAACTCTATTTTATCATATCATTTATATTCATAATGTAACGATCGACTTGGTGTGATCGCGTCATTACCTTAATATTTTGATAATTCAGAATATAAGTCTATGTAGTCTTGATTTACTAAACTCAACCTTCAAATTTTGTTTTTTTTTTTCTTTTTGCTGATATCATGTTGGTAAAGATCTAGTCGTGCTACACCAACCTATGACTTCTATGACCAAAGATCTAATGTTCTAACTAATTTTTGGTCATTACTTTTAAGGTTTGACAAGTGAACAATGCCAATTGCGTTTTGTAGCTATTGTTTTTTTGGATTTGAAATATAATCTACCAAATTGTCATTTATTATATCTATCACATTATAACAAAGTAAAGTCTCATAAACGAGGTCTAAAATGGGTGGAGTATACGCAAAATTTACCTCTATCTTTTCATATTTACTATATATAACAACATATGTAGTAAAATCTCAGAATTAGAGTCTGGAAAGGATAAAGTCTAATCAGACCTTATCTGTACCTACTCTTCTTTTTCTAATGAACCTTTAACTAGAGTGAGCGATAAAAATGCATATGAAAGACACATGTCATGTATTCATTAATTTGCAATAAACAACCAGTATAGCCAATTTCTCGATAAACACACTATTCTCTTCTTTGGTTAATGTGATTGTTTCACCAAGGATATATTCCAGTGGTTAATGAAGTAGGTTGAGAACTATGAAGTCTTAACGCTACATTTCATCTGAAATATTCACGCCCTTATGGATAGTGTAGGCATTTGTACTGGTGGAAGGTGCAGGTATCTTGTGAAATTAATTAAGATGCACGCAGGCTGATCGAGACACCAGTTCACAGTAACAATATTTTTTTTAAAAAAAGTGATTGTTTCACTAGTTTGGGTTGCACAGAAAAGTTCCCTCCAATTAGTGGTATATAATCATCAAAATTCACAACTAACTTCAATTTGTTGTGTAACAACACATCATTACTAATTTACTATTAAGCAAAAATCATAAAATGGTGTTTCCTTATAAATTCAAAAATATAACAAACTCCTCCAAACAAAACTTATAATGTAAGCATTATTCATCAAAAATTTGTAGGCTTAGTTTGGTGAACCAACTCCTACAGGATTTAACTAAATTTTGCCCTCTAATATAATCATAAGCAAAATCTAACCCTATAAAAGCAAAGCTTCAACTCTGCTATCTTTCACAAAACAAGCTCTGACTTGCATCTCTACTAATACTCGAATCAAGTTTTTTTAAGGCAAGGAAAACAATGGAAGTCTTCAAAAGCATTGCAAACACGACGAGTTCTTTCTTTGTTATATGCATTTTGCTTCTCTTTGCAAATGCAGCATCTGAAAAAACTCACTACCATGATTTTGTTGTAAGTTGTTTACTAACATCTCATAAATTTTACTAGTTCTACGATATTCACCTCTGTTTTTCTTGGAACAGATTCAAGCAACACCAGTGAAGAGGCTGTGCAAAACTAGCAATGCCATAACGGTGAATGGACAATACCCTGGACCAACATTAGAAGTTAACAACGGGGATACTCTGGTGGTTAACGTTGTTAATAAAGCTCGATACAATGTTACTATTCACTGGTAAACTCATGCTTGTATAACTGATATATGTTGCTCAATTAATTAGATGATCTTATATTTGTTGTGTTTCAAAAGGCACGGGGTTAGGCAAATGAGAACAGCATGGGCAGATGGACCGGAATTTATCACTCAATGCCCGATTAGACCAGGAAAGAGTTACACTTACCGGTTTACAATTCAAGGACAAGAAGGGACACTTTGGTGGCACGCCCACAGCTCGTGGCTTAGGGCTACGGTTTATGGAGCTTTGATTATCCATCCAAAAGAAGGCGGAAACTATCCATTTCCTAACCCCAAAAGAGAAACACCAGTTCTGCTTGGTACTATTTCACATTCTCTTATGCATTAGCCTATGTTCTGTTTTCCCTTATGTCGAAATGATAGTTTTGTAAATACCGATTAGGTGAGTGGTGGAATACGAACCCTATTGACGTTGTAAGACAAGCAACAAGAACAGGAGCAGCTCCTAATGTATCAGACGCTTATACTATCAATGGTCAGCCAGGTGATCTATACAAGTGTTCTAGACAAGGTTAGTTTAGGCTAACGTTCACTGAACTATAATTCGATGTTACGTGCTCAGGACGTTTTTTTAACATGAACCATGTTTATGTAGATACCACCATAGTCCATATGGACTCTGGCGAAACTAACCTCCTTCGAGTTATCAATGCTGGATTGAACCAACAGCTTTTCTTTACTGTGGCAAACCACAAGCTTACTGTAGTTGGAGCAGATGCTAATTATGTTAAACCTTTCACAACATCAGTCCTTATGCTCGGACCAGGACAGACAACCGATGTCCTGATCAAAGCTGATCAGACGCCAAGCAGATACTACATGGCAGCACGTGCCTATGCAAGCGCTCAAGGCGCACCATTTGATAATACCACAGCCACAGCCATCCTCGAGTACAAGAAATCGTCTTGCTCTTCCAATTGTACCACAACTAATCCCATTTTCCCATTGTTACCAGCATATAACGACACAACCACTGCTACAGCCTTCACAACCAAATTCAGAAGCCCAAGAAAGGTTGAGGTCCCTACTGAAATCGATGAAAATCTATTCATCACAGTTGGGCTGGGACTCGAGAACTGCCCAACAGGTGCACCCTCCAGTAACTGTCAAGGTCCAAATGGAACTCGATTCGCTGCCAGTATGAACAACATATCGTTTGTGCTGCCATCCAATTTTTCCCTGCTACAAGCACATCACCAACGCATACCTGGTGTCTTCTCAACGGACTTCCCATCTGTACCACCTGTAAAATTTAATTACACAGGCAACGTAAGCCGATCTTTATGGCAACCTATTCGAGGAACTAAGCTGTACAAACTGAAATATGGGGCAAAAGTGCAAGTTGTGTTACAGGGGACAGGTATCTTCACAGCTGAAAATCATCCAATTCATCTTCACGGATACGATTTCTACATCATTGCTGAGGGTTTCGGTAACTTCAATCCAAAAACAGACACATCTAAATTCAACCTTATTAATCCACCTCTCAGAAATACAGCAAGTGTACCAGTTAACGGATGGACAGTCATCAGATTTATCGCGGACAATCCAGGTAATTAAGAGAACAAATACTTATAATTTACTAATATTCCCAACTCTTTTCTATACAATGTAACATTTCAATGATACAAATTTAACTTAATACAGGAGTGTGGATAATGCATTGTCATTTGGATGTTCACATTACATGGGGTTTGGCGATGGCGTTCCTCGTGGAAAATGGAGTTAGTGAGCTCGAATCTTTGGAGGCTCCTCCCGTAGATTTTCCTGTCTGTTGACGATTGCAAGAAGCAACAACAAACAAGAATTAATTTGAGTTTTTAACTAAACTTGAATCTCGCATTGCTATAATTAGTTTAGCCTTTGGGTATATAGGAAACAATATTGCAATGTGTCCAACTTCATCAATACTATTCCCATTGGTGTTACCTTTGCGTTTTGCAATATATGAAATCTATTTTGTTCAATGTAAAAGTACGATCGTGAGGATATATACAATCTTAAAGTATAACTGAAGATGTATACATATCTTTTTTTAAAAGTTCAGGGTATATTTGTTCTTTTCTGTTTTAACAATATTTCGATCTCCTATTTGCAAACTAAGACAAATACATAAAAAGATTTCATCAAATATGACACTTGCAAACTTTCATCTTATATGAATTAAAGGAAAAATCACTTTAATACAACAAACTCATTTTATCATATTTTCTAAAATTTCCACTATTTGAAAAAATAACAAAAAATTCTACTCTCCTATCTTAGATACATTACTTTACGTGATGTATCGATCAGATACATTACTTTACGCGATGTATTAGCTGGATACATCACTTTACTAATGTATCAGAATGTGCGCGATGTATTGAGACGTTGAATGATGTATCCGAAATCAAGACGCAATGAATCCGGACGTTGAAGGATGTATGTGAAGTCGGGATACATCACTTTACTAATGAATCGGAACGCACGCGATGTATCGGGACGTTGAGTGATGTATCTTGAACGCGATGTATCATGATGTTTTGGGATATATCCGGATTCCACCAAATTAAAGAAATTTTTATAATTTAAAAAAGAGTAAGCATATAATATAATTAGCTCTTAATACTATGATTTTTGTGTAAATTCTCTATAGTAATTTAACATGTCGCATGTCTCCTTTTGCTACAAATTTGACCATGCCCAATCAGTAGTTGATTCAGAAATTTCACTAAAGCAGTTTAATTTTTTTTTGCATGGTTTGATTTTTGTGGGGGGGGGGGGGGTTAAATCTAATATATATAGCTAAAAACAAAATGCTCACAATGAGGTTTTAACTTTGAAGGGCCAATTTGAAGACACTTACGACTACACTACACTATATTTCTTTTTGGGTAAATTTTATATATGGCAAATAAATTTAAGCAAATAACGCTTTATAGATACAATTAATTATTCTCAAGGATATAGTATAGTTTGCTATGAAGTCTTATATTTATATATATTTCTATTTCAGTTTAAGTTTATACAAATAAGTTTTTTAATAAATGAATATATGAACGCTAAATATGGTTACCTAAAATTTACAAATCTTATGATTCACGCCAATCATTTTTAATATAATATTTTGTCCAAAATGAATTCTACTATTATACTGACACCAATTTTTATACAAATTAATTACTATATACAAGTATATGCATATGTATAAGTATACAAATATTTGTATAAAATATAGAATTGTTTGTATAAATATAGAACTATTTGTATTTGTTTATAATTATAAATTGAATATTTATATGGATATATGACTTAAATATACCAATATATAAATACACCTTCAAATACTTATGTATATATAGAACAAAATCACAATTTTGTATGTGAATAAATAATAACTAATAAATATACAAATTCTTATATACATTTAGGGTTTATAAGAATATTTGTGCTTCCTCAGATCTGTCCAGATCTAATGATCCACCTCTTGTTTTTCAACTTTTGAATAGATGCTTCCTCTTCAATTTCTCTAGATTCTGCAATAGACCATACATTGACTCCAAAATTTTATGTTAAACTCAGTGAAAATTTTAACGGCTATCTGCAAAATATTGTATTAAACATATACAATATTTGGACGGCTGCTTGCAATAGTGAAATCACAATTAGGAGGGAGAGAGTAAATTTTGAAATTCATATTGAATGTGTAAGAGTGATTTTAAGAGAGAAATTAGAGAATGGAGAGAGAAAGGAGATAAAATAGTGTTTGTATAAATAAGTATACAAAATTCGATAAGGCTATTTTTTTTTCGATATACAAAGTAGGTGTGAGTCCCATATCTAATAGCAAAAAGAGTCAAGACATGAAAAAATTTATCTGTGATCTACTTGAAAAATTTTCAAATATGTATCATCCTTTGCATTACCCGTCGTCTCTGCGGCCGCCAAAATAGTCACGCACAATAATTAAAATAAACTATACCCTCGTTAAATAATAAACTAGCAATGTTTGCAAACTCGCATAATTTTCCCTTTCTTTTTCAGAGGGTTCAACATTACTATATATATATACTTTGAATATGTTAATTAAGAATCGTGCATGCTCGAAACATATCCACAAATAGCAACACTAACATCTGGTTAGCTGCTCATAACACATGACAACCTTCTTGATTATCCATGGAGTCATGTATTTTGAGCAGCTAACCAGCCTGTTAGTGCTGTCATTTGCGAAAATTTTGTTTGCTGAATTTGTATGATATTAGGTAGGAATTTATAGGGATATTTTGGTATTAAAATTGGTATGTATATATGACATTATTAATTATTTTACCTAATAAAACTTGGTATATCTCATAGAAAGTCCATATTGCATATAAGGTAAAATATTAAAGGAAAAATTAGCAAATTAGTCAAAATCAATAACTTAATTAGTAAAGAATTCACTACTTTAAAAATATTAGTTAAAATGTCAAAAATTCATAATTTTGAAAAAGAATATGTATCTTAATTTAACTCTAATTTTATTTCCTAAAAAAATAATTTATTTACATTTCTATGTAAATCCATAGTTTACTTTTTTCAAATTATTTTAATTTTAAAAAAATCAAAATCTGCAAATTTTCTCCGTATCTCTCTTCCATATTTATCCCATAAGTAAAAAAAGAAAAATTCTCTCTCTTCATATTTTCATGTTTATATTCCTATTCAACCTTCAAATCCTTCTTCTCTTCAACTCCAATTTTTTTATTATCTTCTACCGAAATCTTCAAAATCTGGATTCACACAAATTTTTCTAATTAAGATATTTTCATCGTTATCTTTTCTTTTTAGATTTATTTTTTGATTTTATTGTTGTTTAAATCATTGGTGAAAGTAGAATTTTTCTCATTTAGGACTATAAAATACTCTTTAAATAATGATTCTAAGAGACACTATTCATCTTAGTAAAACGTTTTCTAGTAATTTTCCATCATTTAATCTATGTATTACTCAAGAAATAGCGGACATTGTAAAATCTACTTCTAAAATTAGAGAAGAGAGACGACAAGAATAAAGTCTCCATCAAATTCAGATTGAAAACGTAACTCGTAAGGCACAAGAAAATGACGGCGAAGACCAAATCATTGATGAAGAGGTATTTAAATATTTTTTACATGTTTAGATTTTTGCATGTTGAGTTGAAATTAAATAACAATTAGTTCAACAATGTGTACCGAATATATTTGTAAATTTCTTGTTGTGTACATTGTGCAATATATATTAGTTTGTATTTTATATTTTGTATTCAGTTGTTATTTTATTATTGTATTTTGGGGTCAGTTTTTATTAATTTTGATAATGTATTATTTTGTTCATTCCTTTATATTTTTTCACATTTGTAGATATTCAATAATTTATGAATACATTTTACATGACTATTACATTTTAGATTTTAGTAATGAACTTTTGTTGGATTTGTGTTGTATGCTATGAAATTTTTATGTATTTGTATTTGTAATTTTTTCTTAGAATTATATATGCTTTCTCAATTAATATTCAAATTAGTATATATGTTATTAATATTTATATTAATTTAAAATCTCATGTTGTATAGTTAGGAATCTTGTATCTGTTCCTAATTGAATCCATTCCAAATGTATACTAACTAGATATGTATATTATTCACATGAAGAACAAAATCCTATTAGTTTCTTTTTATATATATAAAAAAAATTCAGAAATTTGTATCATTTCTCAATTTATATTTAAAATCGTATGTATACAATTAATATTTGTATTCCTTCAAAAATTATGTTGCATAGTTTATAAATTTGACATTTTCTTCTAATTTGTATTTATTCTAAAGGTATGTCAACTAGTTATGTATTTTATTTAAGAATGATTACATCAAATATTCAATTATTTCTTTTCAATTTTATGTTTCATTCTCACTTTTTCATCATACTAATTTTTTGTATTTTATATATTATTGTACAAAATTCTAAATAAAAAATTGAATAAATAGAAATACAAATAAAATACATATTGATATGAATACATAAAAGATTTTTGAAGAAAAAAAACAACTACAGAGGGAAAAAGATATATGAATACAAATATATTTCTTGAATGACTATATAGATACATTTGACATACCTATTAGAATGAATACAGACTAATAAAAATTATAGTGAATATAAATAGAATATATTGTGGAATAAATATAATTTAAAAAAATTAAAAATTCTGGAGAAAAAAAAAAGAAAAAAGTTTAAATTATATTTGAAAATGTAACTGATAAGAAAATTAAGTGATCCTTTTTTTTTTTGAAATATTCTCTTCCTTGATTTTCTCTCTTTTGTTATTAAACAATTATATTCTTTAAATAAAAACAAATAATAAAAACATAAATAAGATACATAACAAATTAAAATTTGACATTTCTATTAAATATTGAAAGTGTTGCTAATGAACCCTCTTAAATGTTAAAATATTGACATTTTGAAAAATTTCACAATAATAAATAATTTCATATTGCATTCCAATAAAACTATAGTTATGGACTTATGGGCGTTTTTTGCTTGAATTTGTTTGTCATATATGATATTTACCCTAAAAATATGATAGGAATATTTGTGTGATTGATATTGTGGGCTAAGTGGTACCAATCACGGTAGTTTACTTTGCCCCACTAGCAAGGTGGATAGCGAAAAGGTTCAAAAATACCTCAAGTTTTATTTGATTGGTTTACGATGTTTTGACGTTGAAATGAAGTTATTCTTATCCCTGCTATTATTGATTTCATTATTTATGTCCCTCAATTGGGTGGAAAGTTCCGAATCAATTAAAAATTAACCAATTTTAATCTGATCCGACCGACTGAATCATATAACTCATTTCTTTTATCCAAATCAACTTTATTTTCCACCACCAACACCTTTACTTAAGCCACCACCTTTCCGAGATCTCTTCTACACCGTCGCACCACCTCTTTCACTATTCTATCTCCTCCAAGTCAGCAACCACGAACCATCGTAGACCAACCATCATTCATCGATATATATATATAATTTTTCAAAAATATCTATCAATAGAAGTGTGTTATTCACTCAATAATTAATTAGTTAACTTGAGAGGAAGATTAGTGTAATTAAACTTATTTTTAGTTGCTGCACTGAAATTAAACTCATTTAAAAAATGAAAAAACGTTATATCCTTAAATTTATTTGTCATATATGAAATTTATCGTAAAAATATGATAAAAATATGTAAAAATTTAAGGAATCCCATAGTGTAATTCAATAATTACACTCTGTCTCGACAAATTTAGTATTTACTAAAAATCCCTTAAGATTTTTGTGCCGTGATACTTTAGACTCTAGAGATACATGGTAAATGATACATGGTCAATTTAAACTGTTAAGAAAAAATGGGGAAAAAACGGTACATTTAAACTTGTTAACTAAAATAGCTTAATTTACGGTAACAAATCATTAATCAGCATTAAATTAGCACGTAATTGAATATTAATTTCAAATTTTGAAAATAAAAGATTATATCATCTATTTTGAATACAATTTTCAAAACCGCATGATACATAGAAAACA